CACTGGGTTGCCCAAGCTGGTCTTGAACTCCTGAGCTTAAGCGATATGCCTGCCTCAGCCTCCCAAAGGGCTAGGATTACAGACATGATCCACCACAGCCAGCTGCTACATTTTTTTTTCTTTTCTTTTCTTTTTTTTTTTTTTTTTGAGACAGAGACTCACTCTGTCGCCAGGCTGGAGTGCAGTGGCACTATCTTGGCTCACTGCAACCTCTGCCTCCCAGGTTCAAATGATTCTCCTGCCTCAGCCTCCTGAGTAGTTGGGATTACAGGCGCCTGCCACCACGCCCAGCTAATTTTTTGTATTTTTAGTAGAGACAGGGTTTCACCATGTTGGCTGGGATGGTCTCGATCTCTTGACCTCGTGATCTGCCCATCTCAGCCTCCCAAAGTACTGGGATTACAGGCGTGAGCCACCGCACCCATCCCAGCTGATACTTTTTAATTTTAACAGAAATAACAGATCTGAACTCATATGCTTCTGGTAAAAATGAGTCAAGATGTATAAAGACAAAAGTTGACTAAACTATAAGAAGAAATTTATAAATTAACCATGATAGGAAGAGGCTTAAATATATATCTGTTAGTAATTGGTAAATCAGTTAGACAAAAATTAGTAAGGAAATAGGGTATTTTAAAAACAAAATGAACAGCTTGATTTGTTATAACAAAACTAGAGAATACATAATTTTCTCAAGCATACATGGCATGGTTTTAAAAACTGGTTACCCAATATTCCATAAAGCAAAAGTCAAAAAGTTTTATATGAGTTGTTATCATAGGGACAGTTTCTATAATTACAGTGCAATTAGAGTACAAATTAATAATAAAGAGATAAAAATATATGTGATTCAATTCTAAAACACAAAAGATTGAAAACAAGAAAATACAAATTGCACTATTCATAAACAGAAAACAATATGGTTGTCTACGAAGAAAGCCCAAGAGAATATACAGAAATTGTTGAAATTGATAGGAATTTTGTAAGACTGCTGAATCTTAGAATAACTGGATTCCTGTGAAGAACATGTTACCATAAGAAAATGCTATAAAAACCACTTGCAAAAGCAGTAAAGGGTATAATGGCTTGGAACCAAGATAACAAAAACATGCATGACTTCTGTGGAAAAGACCTCATAAAACTTTATTAGAATTTAAGACCTAAATGCACGGAGATAGGACACACCACTGCCATGCATAGGCAAACTAAGTATCTCTCCAAAAAATGCTTTCTTTGATTTAATCTAATTCCAAGAATATGCTGAATATTTGTTTGTTTATGTATCTATTTTTGACAAACTGGTTCTAAAATTTGTATGGAGAGACAATGGGGCACATATAGCTAAGAGAATTCTGAAAATGGAAACAGTATCGGGAGACCAGCCCTACAGATGTGGAGACGTATCATGCTGCATCCTTGTTGCTGCTGTTTGGGGTTGCCAAAGGGTCGAGCACATGGAACAAAGATGCTCAGAGCCTAGGAGCTGCCAAAGTACATAATTCTGGATGATGAGGATGATGTTGTTTCCAGTCCCTTTTACCCAATTATTAAACGTGCTTGACCCAGTATTTTCCCCCCAGTTTTCCCAACAACCCAAAGTAGTCAAAGCTCTGTTTTACCTAAAAAAAAAAAAAAATCCACTGGAACACAACAGTAAAAATAATTTCTAGAGCATTAGGAACTATAAAAGATGGATTTGAAAACTCTCTTAATGTTTAAAACTGCTGGGAAAAATTACCATGCCTGTATATACTACGTTTGCAAATTTTGGAAAATAGAGAAGCAAGAAAAAACTGAGATATAACTCTAAAGTAGGCAGTTTTGAACAAGTCTGGTGACCGCACAATTAGTAATATCCTGCATAAAGCGTGGGCAAAGTTGGGCATGACCTGTACTAATAATAAAAGTTTAAATAAGAATTGTTAGAAATTCCTATACATTCAGCAAGGTACATTGCAAATAATAAAATGAAAAAGACTATTATACTATCTGCCTTAATACAAACAACATGCATCATGATTTTATTTATGTATTTTCAGGACTCTGCATTCATTGTCAATGTTAAAAACAGAATTAACATTTAGTTGGCCGGGCGCGGTGGCTCACGCCTGTAATCCCAGCACTTTGGGAGGCTGAGGCGGGCAGATCACAAGGTCAGGAGATCGAGACCATACTGGCCAACATGGTGAAACCCCATCTCTACTAAAAATAACAAAAATTAGCTGGGCATGGTGGCGTGTGCCTGTAATCCCAGCTACTCGGGAGGCTGAGGCAGGAGAATCGCTTGAACCAGGGAGTCGGAGGCAGAGCGACACTCCGTCTCAGAAAACAAACAAACAAAAAAACAAAACACAAAAAAATAGAATTAACATTTAGTTATTCCTACGTTTAAAAAATGTCATTTTAAATTGGTTCCTTAAGATTCAAAGATCCACAAGAAATAACTAATACACTTATATTTTTACTATAGGATGTTTTTTCAAAACAGCAATCACAGGGATTAAAACATTTATATGTGATGTTACAAATAGGTTGATATTTAGCGCCAGAAATTAATTCGGTGTATTATCCTCACATTTATAATAAAACAAACGTCTAGGTTCACTCCGCTTATAATCTGGTGGTTCCTGCTACCTTGTTGGCCACTGGTTCCACAACACAGCTAGATAGTACTATGTTGACAATAATCTACGGGCTTTCCTTAGGGGGAGAGAATCACAGGGGCTTACCTAAATAAATCCATGCCATTTTATTTTGTCTGATTTTGGTAGCAACCTGATTCAATAAAACAATTTCTTTTAGGATATTCATTTTATATTTATTCCTGTCTTGCCAAATATACTGGTGATTTTATTAAAAATTTTAGGATAAAAACTTAACAATGCTAACTTTTCTATCTTAAATGAGTGTTCTGACACCTAAATAGAACAAGAATGGCTACTAAGTCATTCATATTTTTTGGTGCAAAGCTATTAGTTTGGGTCATATTAAATTGCTGACTTTTTGACCTGCAAAAGTGGTGGTTTCAGATGCTTCAGCCTGTATATCCTGGAGCGAGTGGTGGCTTTGTGATTGTTAGGAATTAAAACTTACTAAGCTCTACACAGATAAAGGATATCAGAAAGATAAACTAGATGAGCAACTATTTGTCCGTAAATCAGAAATACACATGTAATTGAAGTATTACAACACAATATATGAACAGCTTAAGAGCTGTAGAAAAATCACCTTACTGTGTCCAGAGGGGATGTTGTTGGTCCAGCCAGCTCACCTGCCAGGTCTCCGGTTCCTATGCTAGTCCTTTTTGTGTTGGAACCACAGATACTAGTGTTCCCCCAAATATTTACTTACATGATGATATTATTGCTGTCATTATTATTGTTTGTAATATCCAGCAGATTTCCTGGGGGCATGAATGGTACTTATGTCTACATGCCCAACACACAGGGCCCAGCAAATACAAGATGTGCAGTAAGTGTCAAAGCACGGGTGGTGACAGTCATAGGCCAAGCACTTTCCCATGCCTTATGCTACATAAAATAACTTTAAGAGTGCACTGTGGCCAGGCATGGTGGCTCACACCTGTAATCCCAGCACTTTGTGAGGCCAAGGTGGACGGATCACGAGGTCAGGAGATCAAGACCATCCTGGCTAACACAGTGAAACCTCATCTCTACTAAAAATACAAAAAATTAACCGGGTGTGGTGATGGGTGCCTGTAGTCCAAGCTACTCAGGAGGCTGAGGCAGGAGAATGGCATGAACCCGGGAGGTGGAACTTGCAGTGAGCTGAGATTGCACCACTGCACTCCAGCCTGGGCAACAGAGCAAGACTCCATCTCAAAAAAAAAAAAAAAAAAAAAAGAGTGCATCGTATCATACCTTCATCTTGCTCTTGAATCAGTATTTTTTTGTTGTTTTTAAATTTATAACATGAATGAGTAAGGAAATGCCTAAAAATCACAATAGGAATCTCTTAAGACTTTAGCAATAAATTTCTGATAATTGAAATCCTAAATCTTCTCAGACAGGTGCTTTTATGGTGAAGGCAGATTGCTATTCCTTGCATGGTAACTGCATTTAAGTTTTATGCAGTGGCTACATTGGAAAGAGCAGTGGCGTGCTTAATTGCATGGAGAATGTAATCTCACGTCTGCACCCACGACCACTTATTTTTCTGTGGTCAGGTTTATGAACAGTGAACACTGGTCCTCAGAGGGCCTCACTAAATACATTACTATGTTAGTAAGTGTTCACACGAGCAGTTTTATTTCCCTGCTATTATGGATGATGAAAAGAGTCAAATTCTGTAAAATATCTGAAGAGACTTATTCTGAGCCAAATGTGAGTGACCAATGGTCTGTGACACAACTGTCAGGAGATCCTGAGAGCATGTGCCCAAGGTCGTTGGGGCACATCCTAGTTTATACATTTAGGAAGACATGAGACTCGGTCAGATACATGTAAGATGTACATTGGTTCAGTCTGGAAAGGCAGCACGAAGCAGGGAAGGGGAGGCTTCCAGATTACAGGTAGATGGAACAATTTTCTGATTGCCAGTTGGTTGAAAGAGTTAAGTTATTAACTGGACGACTTGGAGTCGGTAGAAAGGAATGTCTGGGTTATGATGACAAGGGGTTGTGGAGACCAAAGTTTATCATGCAGATGAAGCCTCCAGGTAGCAGGCTTCAGAGAGAAGAGACTGAAAATGTTTCTCAGCAGACTTAGTTTTTCCATTGGTAATTCTGAAAGGGAGGAGGGTGTAATGAGGTACCCCCTGCCCCCCCCATCACGGCCTGAACCAGTCCCTCAGGTTAGCCTCGGAATGCCCTTGCCCAGAGAAGGGGTCCATTCAGATGGCCAGTGGGCTTAGAATTATATTTTTGATTTACATTATGTATTTACAAATGTAACTTAATACTTCTTGAACTGCAATGAAAGGCTATTATTTGCTGTATGTTGTTCAGAATAACATTAAGGTAGTTGTGTTTGCTTCCTAAGGCCGGTGACACAGAAGTTCTTTCCCATAAGGAGCTCCTGCCAGTTACTCGGGTTGTTAGGATGGACACACACTGGCCATGTTCTGAAGTGGCTTACATGCTGGGGCCTCTGCTCTGCCAAAGGGACAGTAAGTAGTGGCAAGAGGAACTGTCTTGGCTCACTAATAATACATGTCCATGTTTTATGGGAAAGTTAGCTGCATGGGTTAAAAACAACATTATATGCCCTGGTAATCTGTATTTCATTAGGAATAATTAACTTGAAAAAGCAATGTATCTTATAATTGTGAAAAAAGTGATAAAAATTATATTACCTCTGGGTTATGTCTCTTTGATACAGTATTTAAATAAGACCACAGCTGTAAAGACTAATGGAATCATCTGAAATATTATATCACTTGTTGGCAAGTGTTTTATCCATACCTACTTTACTGAAAGCTAAGATCACTAAAATTGGTCAGCGAATGAGAAAATGCAAGGACAGAGCCATCAGGCCTATTGGCTCGTTAGCACCTCTGGCAACTCCGCATGTTCACAGGGAAACCTCCATGACCTCAGCTCCCCCAAAACAGGCAAAATGAGACACATGTATTCTAGCTTTGATCTCATCTCTCATGAATATGCTCTGTCCAGGACTTCTCTGTCATCACTCCCCAGACGCTGGAAAAAAGCCACAGCCACGCCAGGAGTGGAGCCAGGGTGTGCAGGACACGGCAGCAGCAGCCACATAGGATGGGCTGTCTACACACAAGGTGGGTGTGCCCATGGAGCAGGTCGCAGAGAAACTGTGGGAGATCACAGACTGCAGAGATCATTCTGGCATTTGTCACTCTAAGGAAAGTATAAGGCAATTCTGTCTGATTATTTAAAATAGAATCGTTTCTGTCCCAAACCCATTTACTTTAGGAGGAGATAGGATTCCATTCTCGAGACGCCTGTGGCTGCTTCTGTTGGATCTGGTGGCAGTCCTTTCTGCATTTCTCAGAGGATCATCAGTGCAACACCCTGAGGAAAGCAGTAACATAGAAATTACACAGTTCTACTGGAGATTCACCTTTATCCAAATCGAAGATGAAGCATTTTGGGGGCAATAATAGGATGTTAATTGTTAATCAGTTCTGGGTCCTGGGAATATGAGGGAGTTTAATTATCTATATTTTATATTCCTCTTTTAAAATCTTTAAAATTTAAAAGTTTTAAAAAAACGTCAAAAATGCCATGATTATTTTATCTTGAGATATTTAAGGATTAAAAATACTTGAAAAATATACACAAAGCAAGAGTCTGGCATATACATATTCCTGATATAAGCAAAACTGTGTCATTCCAGAGATTTTGGCATGTTGAATGGGCACCGTGGTGATCTACAGTCTTCAAGAACAGTACACTTACACCTTCAGTAAGAACTCCAGCTTCCCTGCAGCTTTATTTCCTGAAGAGGTCATGCTGACCAGAGAGGCGGCCACACTGAGCTTCCGAACCACCATCCCCCGGCTTACAGCTCTACAAGAGCTCCTTCCTCGAGGAATACCTTCCAGTTGTTCTCACCCTAAATGGTGAGTGTCCTCAGCGTAACAACAAGAGTGAGGCCAAATATTATAACCATAACAAGGTGGGGCCTTTCAGTGTTCAAACCACAAACAAGAAACTCAACAGCATTCCCTGCAACTGTCATTCTATTAGCATTGGTTTATTTTTCATTAAAGCCCTAAATATTTATCAAAAAAAGTTAAATTTTAGTGATTAAAATTAAGATACCTTTCTTCCATAAGATTTTGATCATTTTTATGTATTTGATATGAAACTGTGCTTCCTGTTGCCGGAAGGCCTTTCCTTCTCTATATGAATAATCTAAATTGTTAATCAATTTAGTTTAAAATAAGAGCTATTATCTTATCTATGGAAATTATTTCCTCCTCCTAAACAAAGTAGTACTTAACCCATATAAAAGCTGGTATCCATATCCGCAGCTGCTCTTCATCCATCGGTAGCTGGGAAGTCGCTCGTGTCATCTCTGCATGAAACAGACAAGTGGAGCGGGAGTTACCCAGCTTGTGCCCCACCAGGGCTTTTTCAGGCGTGCACATTGGAGAGCAAAACCAGCCTTCAATCTTGCCTCATGGCACATGAGAGGAGAAACTTCTGGAAGCACCTCCACACTCTCTGATAGGATCTGGCATAGGCAACAAGAGAGTTGTAAAGTCAAGAGTCTAACTGTAAAGGAGACCATTGTGTGGGTAAAGGGTTTAGATATTGTAGTAAACCACTTCTCTCTTTTCCATGTCCCTTGATTATAGCAGAAACATTAGGAAAGAAATCCTGGTTGTGCAACGAAAAACAAATTATGCAAATGTCAGTAATACATTAAAATGCATTAAAATAAGTCAGTGAAAGAAGTTATAAAAAATGTTTCAAGGTTCATCTGTCTTGTAAGGGGTATCAGAACTTCACTCCTTTTCATGCCTAAATTATATTTTATTGTATGTATATACTACATTTTGTTTTTTGAGACGGAGTCTCGCTCTGTTGCTTAGCCTGGAGTGCAGTGGCGCAATCTCGGCTCACTGCAAGTTTCACCTCCCAGGTCCACGCCATTCTCCTGCCTCAGCCTCCTGAGTAGCTGGGACTACAGGCGCCCATCACCACGCCCGGCTGATTTTTTTGTATTTTTAGTAGAGACAGGGTTTCACTGTGTTAGCCAGGATGGTCTTGATCTCCTGACTTCGTGATCTGGCCATCTCGGCCTCCCAAAGTGCTAGGATTACAGGCATGAGCCACCGCGCCCAGCCTATACTACAGTTTTTATTTTTTTATTTATCTGGTTTTTTTTATTATACTTTATGTTCTAGGGTACATGTGCACAATGTGCAGGTTTGTTACATATGTATACATGTGCCATGTTGGTGTGCTGCACCCATTAACTGTCATTTACATTAGGTATATCTCCTAATGCTATCCCTCCCCCCTCCCCCCACCCCACAACAGGCCCTAGTGTGTGATGTTCCCCTTCCTGTGTCCAAGTGATCTCATTGTTCAATTCCCACCTATGAGCGAGAACATGCGGTGTTTGGTTTTCTATCCTTGTGATAGTTTGCTGAGAATGATGGTTTCCATCTGCATTCATGTCCCTACAAAGGACATGAACTCATCCTTTTTTATGGCTGCATAGCATTCCATCGTGTATATGTGCCACATCTTCTTAATCCACTCTGTCACTGATGGACATTTGGGTTGGTTCCAAGCCTTTGCTATTGTGAGTAGTGCCGCAATAAACATACATGTGCATGTGTCTTTATAGCAGCATGATTTATAATCCTTTGGGTATATACCCAGTAATGGGGTGGCTGGGTCAAATGGAATTTCTAGTTCTAGATCCTTGAGGAATTGCCACATTGTCTTCCACAATGGTTGAACTAGTTTACAGTCCCACCAACAGTGTAAAAGTGTTCCTGTTTCTCCACATCCTCTCCAGCACCTGTTGTTTCCTGACTTTTTAATGATTCTAACTGGTGTGAGATGGTATCTCATAGTGGTTTTGATTTGCATTTCTCTGATGGCTAGTGATGATGAGCATTTTTTCATGTGTCTGTCGGCTGTATAAATGTCTTCTTTTGAGAAGTGTCTGTTCATTTCTTTTGCCCACTTTTTGATGGGGTTGTTTGTTTTTTTCTTGTAAATTTGAGTTCTTTGTAGGTTCTGGATATTAGCCCTTTGTCAGATGGGTAGATTGCAAAAATCTTCTCCCATTCTGTAGGTTGCCTGTTCACTCTGACAGTAGTTCCTTTTGCTGTGCAGAAGCTCTTTAGTTTAATTAGATCCCATTTGTCAATTTTGGCTTTTGTTGCCATTGCTTTTGATGTTTTAGACATGAAGTCCTTGCCCATGCCTATGTCCTGAATGGTATTGCCTACGTTTTCTTCTAGGGTTTTTATGGTTTTAGGTCTAACATTTAAGTCTCTAATCCATCTTGAATTAGTTTTTGTCTAAGGAGTAAGGAAGGGATTCAGTTTCAGCTTTCCTCTTATGGCTAGTCAGTTTTCCCAGCACCATTTATTAATTAGGGAATCCTTTCCCCATTTCTTGTTTTTGTCAGGTTTGTCAAAGATCAGATGGTTGTAGATGTGTGGTATTATTTCTGAGGGCTCTGTTCTGTTCCATTGGTCTATATCTCTGTTTTCTTACCAGTACCATGCTGTTTTGGTTACTGTAGCCTTGTAGTATAGTTTGAAGTCAGGTAGCGTGATGCCTCTAGCTTTGTTCTTTTGACTTAGGATTGTCTTGGCAATGCGGGCTCTTTTGTGGTTCCATATGAACTCTAAAGTAGTTTTTTCCAATTCCGTGAAGAAAGTCATTGGTAGCTTAATGGGGATGGCTACTACAGTTTTTAAATCCAGTCATCTGCTGGGTTGTTTCCACCTTTTGACAATTGTGACTAAAGCTACTATTAACATTTTTTGTTTGTTTTAAGATGGAGTCTCGCTCTGTTGCCAGGCTGGAGTGCAGTGGCACGATCTTGGCTCACTGCAAGCTCCGCCTTCCGGGTTCACGCCAATCTCCTGCTTCAGCCTCCCGAGTAGCTGGGACTACAGGCACCCGCCACCACGACCTGCTAATTTTTTGTATTTTTAGTAGAAATGGGGTTTCATTGTATTAGCCAGGATGGTCTCAATCTCCTGACCTCATGATCGACTCACCTCAGCCTCCCAAAGTGCTGGGATTACAGGCGTGAGCCACTGCACCTGGCCAACATTTTTTTTAAAACAGAAGTTAAATGCTTATAAAAACTTAATGGTAATGCAGTATTGCCTAAGGCTTTGCCATTTAATAATATAAATATCACATTAATGATAACTTAGAGCATCACTCAGTTTTCATATGCTTAACTTCAGCCTTTTCCTTTATTGAATGAAAATGGAGGGACTTAATTGTTGGTGTTTTTTAAGAGTTGGGTTCTTACTCTGTCACCCAGGCTGGAGTACAGTGGTGCAGTCACAGCTCACTGCCACCTCTAACTCCTGGGCTCAGGGAATCCTCTTGCCTCAGCCTCCTGAGTAGCTGGGACTACAGGGATGCACCAGCATACACAGCTGAAAATGGAGGAACTTGGAAAAAATACTCTTTATTATAACCTATTTGGTCTTGACTTTTGAAATAATTAGAATTGGATTTAAAATTTGATCCTGGAATAGCCATAAATGATCATTATTCCAGGAAAAGTAAATATTGGTGCACCCAAGTAAATGCTTAACAGATTCAAATTTTATTAAATAAATTAAAATGTACTTTAGAACCTGCATTCACAGTTTAGTACTTCATTGGTTTTACTTTACTTGGCAGCCAAATGTTTATCATAGTGACGATGGGGATATGCTGATGAGAATTATTATAAAATTCTGTTTTGGCCAATTAAAATTGTTACTCCAAGAATGTAAGACTTAGAGCAAAAATTTATAATAAATCCTAAAGAGAAAAGATACACATTCAGCACTGTTCCTCCATAGATCTTGCTAGGACGTAACCTATAGTCAAGGTTTTTTGTTTTGTGTAACAATATTTAGCAATGAGATTGCCAAGTTATCATTGTTATTTGACCATTTAAAATGCCAAACTATCCTCACTGGTTTTCCTTTACCTGGCAGGGAAATGTCTGAGTTATCATAGTGACTACTGGAGACGTGCCAGTGGGAACCCACTCCCACTAGGTACAAAAGAACAAATGCTACAGCAAA